GGTTTGAATTTTTACTTACAACATCACTAATGTGAAAATATGTTTAATAGGAATGTAAATGCATAACCTATATCAGATTATGCGCTGTCTTGGGAAGGGTGGTGGGGAGGAAGGGGGAAAAAATTTTAAACTCAAAAGCATATGGAAGTGATTATTGATAAATCAAAATAAATTAATAAAGAAAAAAATACATCACATTTAAAAGAAAAAAAAGAAAATAAGGTTCAAAGAGATTTGCCTAATGGTAACAACCCTGCTAAATGCCCAAGCAATTACCTGATTCTTAAAGTAAAGCACACCATTAAAATGGGTGGGTTTCCATCTCTGAGGTAGATAAGGAAACAGATTCAAAGCTTAAGTGACTTGTCTGTGGTCACAGAGCTTGCAATGCTCCCAAAGCAACATCAAAGCTCAGCATCAGAACCAATTTTCTCCAACCACACCATGACTTTCCTTACTGCAGGCTCCTCCCCTTCCTTCTTCAAAGACAAGGGAAATTAGGACGTTGGGGGGAGGGGGAAATAGGTGGTGTAGTACCATAATTCTTTATTTTCCATCAGCATCTCTGCTTGCTTCATCATACCCCCCCAGGATGGGCTGATTACCTGAAATCTCATCACTGTGCTTACTGTGTCAGTTTTTGATGCTCAACACCTTCTCAACTCTCTCAGTTGCCTCTCTCCTCTGATTGGAGGGCTGGAGGATGGAGCAATAAACTCCTTCCATAGCCTTCCTTTATAGAGGGCTCAGATTAGAGCTTTCCAGGTAGCCTCTCCATTTTCCATCAGCATCTTGGTTTAGGTTCAACTCCAAGGAACATCATACCCTATGATTCTCCACCCCCTCTCCCCAACTAAAGTGTAAGCTTCCTGAGGGCAAGGACTGTCTTTCTTTTTATTTGTATCCCCACAGCTTAGCACAGTGCACAGCATACAGTGGGTGCTTAACAAATGCTTATTGAATTGAAAGGAACTAGAGTGAAAAGAATGACGGAATCAGAGTATCAGGATCCTGTCTTAACTTTGGATAAGCCACTTATTCTCCTTAATCTATAAATATGAGAGATTTGGACTAGATAAAGTATGATCCATTGCCCTTTTATTGGCAGTGTTAATTTTGAAGGTTATTCAGAGCCACCTGTAGGCATGTACTGCCACCTAGAGGAATAGGCCTGTCCTTGCACCCACTCTTCCTATGGGTTATGTTGCTTGAAGGCAACCTAATATATGGAATTCTCCAATTACTCAAAGGATCAATGGGAGTGAGAAAGGGGTTAGGGGAACTGTTAGCTTCATTTTCTAAAAAAAAGTACCTCCTCTAAAGGTTTCTTCAGATATTGAGCTCCCTTAGTGCATTTTTGGGAGAGTTTTATTCTACAACAATTATATAGACAAGCTTTCAAGAATAATAATTCATATTTACATAGCACTTTAACCTGGAGCCAATGAACTTTTTAAAAGAAAATTGATAACTGCATTTCAATATAGTTGGTTTCCTTTGTGATCCTGTGTATTTTATATATTTAAAATATATATTTAAACATATATACTTAAAATTTTTAAATATTTATATATTTAAAAACATTACTCTGAGAAGGGGACCAGAGCTTTCACCAAATAGCCAAAGTGGTTCACGACAGAATAAATGCTAAGAAACCATCATACCTTAAAGATTTGCGAAAGTTTTACTTCACAATAACCATGTGAGGTAGGTAGAGCAAGTATTGTTGTCCCCATTTTGAAGGTGAAGAAAATAAACTCGGAGAGATTAAATGATTTGCCCCTGGTGACACTGCTGATCAGGAACTATGACTACAAGTGAGATACACTTGTAGGCAGGTAGGTAGCATGGGGCTGGGCCTGGAGTCAGGAAGACACAAGTTCAAATCCAGCCTCACACATTCACTAACTGTGTGACCCTGGGTAAGTCATTTAACCTTTGTTTGCTTTAATCCACTTGAGAAGTAAATGGCAAACCATTCCAGTATCTTTGCCAAGAGAACCCCCTTGACAGTATGGCCCACAACGTCACGAAGAGTGGGACACAATTGAAAGATGAGACAATAAATTTGTAAAATGAATGGGTTTTCATTCCCCTCCTCCATCGCCTTATGTTCTCAGGTAGAATTGTACAACATAAGCTAGTGGAAAGAGCGTGAGCTAAGAGCTTAGAGGCCCAGCCTGTAGTACCAGCTTGGCTACAGTATCAATTAATTCTGTGACTGTAATTAAATCTGGCAGCCGCTAGGCGGTGCCATAGTGCACAGTGTCAGGCCTGGAATTGAGAAGATTCATCTTCTTGAGTTAAGATCTGATCTTGGACGCTTACTAGCTGCGTGACCCTAGGCAAGTCACTTAGCCTTGTTTGCCTCAGTTTCCTTATCTGTAAAATGAGCTGGAGAAGAAAGTGGCAAACCACTCCGGTCTCTTTGCCAAGAAAACTCCAAATAGGATCACAAAGAGTCAGACATGGCCATCAAGTCACTTCAAGTGACTCTATATGCATTTGATCAGGCTCAGACAGTCACTTCATTTTTGGTGTCACCGCCAGTGTACCAATGACTGAAGTGTTAAAAATCCAAATGTGGGGACTCCACTGTTACTGACGGTGACTACAGGTCACTATGGAAACATCTGTAAATCTGCTTCATCTCCTATTTGTTGTTCTGGTTTCATCCATAGATGTCTCTAGAGGCACCTGGCTTGGTTGGGTCTGGTCTCCTGAGCTCCCTAAAGGTTTATTTTCTCCTGTACTGCTTTCCCACCCCCATGCCACAGCTTAGTGTCTGATCATTCCCCTTCATGTTTTTATATTTATAAATTTTAATTTAATTTTTACCTTGGCACCATGTCTCTCTGCTAGCTGAGGTGGTTTCAGTACTACTGAGGTCTCCTCATTGTGTTGAGTGTTTTATTTATTTATTTGTTTGTTTATTCTCCAAGGAATGACAATATTTGGAATCGAGTCTTTGCTTTTACCCATTTTCCATTTTCAGAGTCGTCAATAGCTAATTTAAATTGGTTGGGGTTGAAAACAATCACCTTCGAACATAGTATATTCTCATCTTTATCCTTCTAATTTTGTGTTGATTTTGACCATTGATCAAATCAGTCAATGATCTAACTTCATAAAGACAATGGTTCTGAAATGACTCACAATGGTTAATAGTCACTTTCTATTTGATAAGAGATAATCAGATTTCACAAGAAGACAGTCATGAGACACTGAGAAAGCAGTTCAATTTTTAAAAAAAAGACACCCAGAATAAAGATAATGAAAGTATCCCGTTTCCCAGCATCTAATTTGCACAAGACTGATAAAAAGACTGACAACTGGGAAACCCTGACACCTAGAGCTATTTGGTAACTATGGGACAACTCTATACTTCCTAGTTGTGGCTTGGCTAACAGAAATGTGAATTTTGTTTTCTTACAGTAAGATAGAAGCAAATAATTTCACACCAGATGCTTTGGAGTAGCAGAGCTGGATCAAGACCAGACCTCAGACCTTGATCTGAGAAGAATTCTCAGAGCTAGGATCAGAAAAGACTTCTCATCTAGATCCAGGAATAGCTTTCAGAACCTACTCTGCTTGGAAGAGCAAACTAGAGGAAAGGGCTTTGCACAGCCATCTACTACTTAGAAGAATTGCCTGGAAGAAGAAAAGCTGTGCCTTTGCTTTTCCCTGCTCTACCTTCTTCCTGAGGCAGGAGGTTTCCCAACAGGCATCCTTCAGAGCCCAACAATGGGAGTAGACCTGTAAAAGCCTGGAAGGTCCCAGGCTTAGGATTTCTATTTTGCTGAAAGATCTTAACCGTGCTTTGGTAGCCCAAAAGAGTGGCTAACAGAGAAGCAGCCCTTCCCAGCAAGAAAGTAGGTAGACCCAGAAAAGGAATGGCCTTGCCCATCAGTGAATTGTTGGGCAGACTCTCTCTAAGGGACAGAAAGGATATAATGGTCCACAGTCCAGAACTGAGTTGTCTTGAGCTCATGGGTCCTTACACACGTGTCTTCATGGTATGACTGTAAGTTTGTACCCACTATCCACTTATGGACAGTATGTGCATCAATAAGAGTGTGTCCACAGCTTGTGGAATGTAATGTTACGTAATTATTACTCTTTCTTTGCCTTGTGTTTCTGAAGGAGTTAAAGGTTTCATCTTTGCCGACTGGTTAAATGAACCACACCTGTCACCAGTGATGGCCCAGAAGCCACAGTTATTAATCAAGTTAAATTCACCCTTACTAGCTGTACATTACTGTGGGCACACCTGAGTCTTTCTGTAAAATGGGTATAATAATATTTACACCACCTACCTGCTAAGGATTTGAGGAAAGCACTTTGTAAATCACAAAGCACTATAAAAATGAGTCATTTATGATAACTTGAAATTGAGGTGACTTTTTATTGATATTTTATTATTTTTCTCATAAATGATCTATGGACAGCATTTAGTACACAACAAACAATTTCAAAGATTATCAATAAAAGCCTTCTGATTGCAATGAAAGGAGAAACACATCTTTTATGAAAGGAGCGAACCAGGTGACATTAGAGAGTTAAGGCAACAACTGGTAAGATGGCCTTGCAATTATACAATAAGGCAGAAAGGTAATATATGGCAGGAGTTCTACTTTTGCCAAGTTCCCCCAGAAACATACTTTATACTAGTGCCAAATCTGGAAAAACAGTTTTGTTTTAGGATGGGCACACATCCTGGATAAATGGATTTCTTTGCCTTAGTGTCCTCATAATCCACTTCTGTCTTCACCCCCTAGACTAGGGATGGGGAACCAGCAGCCTCGAGGCCACATGTGGCCCCCTAGGTCCTCAAGTGCGGCCCTTTGATTGAATCCAAACTTCATAGAACAAATCCCCTTAATAAAAGGATTTGTTCTGTAAAACTTGGACTCAGTCAAAAGGCTGCACTTGAGGACCTAGAGGGCCACATGTGGCCTCAAGGCCACAGGTTTCTCACCCCTGCCCACTGGAAGTATCTTTGGTAACACAAGGTCAGTGTCAGAAACTTATGTGAAGGTTATTATTTTTCTTTCAGTTTAGCAAATAAACGTTTACAGGTTAAGGGCCCTAGTCGCTGTGTCCTTGGGTCCTCAGGCTGTGTTCTCAATGATAACAGCAATACCTTGGCCACCACCAATACAAGCCGATCCCACGGCATACTTTCCACCTCGACGTCTAGAAGAGAAAGCAGCAGATAAAGTTTACCTTGTGAGATGCAAACACACAGCTTCCCCATCCCCGCAATCTTCCAATGAAGAGAGTTTCAGATTCTGGGCTTTGCTGGAATAAATGAGTCTAAAACTGTTTTGCCTCTCTTTGATTTAGAACTAATCTCCTTTAGAGTGTGTATCAGGTTCCAAGTACATTAGGGAAGAGCTCAGACTTTAGAAACCTTTTTGAAGATGTTTCTCATATCTGAAATTGTTTAGGGAGATGAGGAAGGGTAAGCATTTATACATAGCCTATGTGCAGGCACTGTCCTAAGCACTTTGCAAAGACTACTCATTTGATCCTCACAACTCCAAGAGCAGCTGCTATTATTATCTCCATTTTACAGTGGAGTAAACTGAAGCAAATAGAGGTTAAGTGACTCGTCCCGGACCACACAGCTAGTAAGTATCTGAGGCCAGATCTGAACTCGGGTCTTCCTGACTACAGGCCCAATTCTCTATCCAATGTTCCATCAGCTGCCTTTGAAATCACTGAAAGGAATACTATACTAGACCAGGAATAACTTGATCTGAGTTCCAATCCTAGCAATGCTGCCAAAGAGCCATGTGGCTGTAGGCAGTCTCAGTCTTTGAGCCATTTTCTCATTTACAAAAAGGGGCTACCCTCTGACCTGGCTACCTCACAGGATAATTGTGAGCATCAAACAAAATAATGTATGTAAAGAGCCATACAAGTTTAATGTCATTATTATTCAGCTTGGTTCAACGAGGGAATAGCTGAGTGAAAACAGAGGCTCCTTCACTGATGCTTGCGCTGTCATTTACGGCTTTTCCGTCTGAATTTGACTTCATTCTTCCTGCAAAGCAGCATGGTTCAGTCACAGATCTGAGAGCTAGAAGGGACCTCTGAGGCCAGCTAGCCGGCTGTCTCACTTTACAGACGGAGGAAACTGACTCCAAGGGAGGCTGAATGACTGCTTATTAACTTGAGAGGCTGCCCAAAGACACGCAAGTAATAACAACGTTTGCTAGCGATTAAATGCAGGCAGCTAGTGGTGCAGTGGATCGAGTACTGAGCCTGGAGTCAGGAAGACCCGAGTTCAGATCTAGCCTCAGACACTTATTGTGCGACTCTGGGTAAGTCACTCAACCCTGTTTACCTCAGTTTCCTCACCTGTAAAATGACCTGGAGAAGAAAATGACAAACCATTCCAGTATCTTTGCCAAGAAAACTGCAAATGAGGTCATGAAGAGTTGGACATAACTGAATGACAATAATAACAACAGCATTTATACTGCATTTAGAGGTTTGCAAGGCACTTAGCATAGGTTAACTCTTTTGATCTTCACAAAAAACCCAGGACGCAGGTCGTATTATTATCCCTATTTTACAGATGAGGAAACTGAGGTAGACAGAAATCAAGTGGCTTGTCTAGGATGACAGAGCTAGTAGGTCAAATCTGAACTCAGGTCTTCCTGAATCCAGGTCCAATATTTGGATCACCTAGCTGCCCCTAGGGAGCTAGCATCAGGAGTGATATGGAATGAGTTCCTCTGGTTCCAGAGCCTGCTGTGTGAATGATGCTCAACAAGCATTTATTAAGTGCTTAGGATGCATCAGGCACTGCAGTCAGTGCAGGGATTACTAAAAAAGGACAACTATATGGTCCCTGCCCTCAAGGCACTTACATTTTAATGGAGGAAACAACCTTCAAATAACTATGTACATATACATTATGTACACAGTAGATAGTAGATGGAAGGAGGCGGGGTGGGTGGATAGGAGACTGGGAAAGGCCTCCTGCAGAAAGTGGGATCTGAGCTGAGTATGGAAGGAAGCCAGGGAAGTCAGGAGGTAGAGGTGAGGAAAGAGAGCATTCCAGGCATGAGGCACTGCCACAGCAAAGGCATGCAGGTGGGAGATGAGCAAGGGGCAGTGAGAAGCCAGTGTCACCAGAGCATAGAATTCTAGAGTTACTTAACTTTTCTTAAGCCTCTGTTTGCTCATTTATAAAACAAAGGGGTTGGATGAGCTGGTTTCTTATTTTAAGCTGACTGGCCCTAAGGGCCCTATGAGCTCTAAGCTTATGACCCCATGATTCTCTATGCTTTCTTCTACTTCATCTCTCAAGGCTGAGAAGCTGAACAGTGCAAACCTGAGATTGCCGGTAGGGGGAGCTCTTGTCTTAAAATATGGACATGGTGCCAGGACTCTCATAGTCTCAAAACATATGCTGGGACAGAGAATAAGAGCTTAGCTCCAGGATGACAGCTCCTCTTTTGGTCTTGGGCCACAATGTCTTAGAAATCAAAGCACTTCATCCACTGGTTTTTTCAGTGCAAAATGTTCAATCTGTTCATGTCAGCTCCACAGCAATCACTTCAATTCTTCAGCCTAAAAGACCGTAGCTTTCTGGGTTAATCCTAAAAATCTCAAGCTGTTGGCACAGGATGGTTTCCATCCTAAAGGAGCCCTGCAAAGGACTACCTGCTCACCTGTCCTCAGCGGCCTATACGGAGGCTACGTGGTCCATATGACCTCAGCGGCCTATATGGAGGCTACGTGGTAAGGCAGATAGTGATGAACTGGTTTTGGTTAGGGCAGCTCATAAAGAACATATAAAGGCATGGAAGGGTTGTAATCTACCTTGGTGGAATAACCAACAATAAGACTCTGAATTACTTGAAGTCAGTGGAGACAGCCCGGTTACAACGGCAACAGCACTGACTCTCGAGTCAGGGTGTCGGAGCTCAAATGCCATCTCTGATGATCGTGATCTGTGACCTAGGGCAAATTTACTTAATTTCCCTGGGCCTGTTTTCCTCATTTGAAATTTTTTGAATTTCTGAAAGTTTTGATTTTTTGAAATATTTGAAAAATAATGGGGTAGGACAAGAAGAGAAGGGACTATGAGGTCCATGGAAAGGAAAAGAGCCCTGATGCTGGATTCAGAAGACCCAGGTTCAATACTGTGAAAAAAAAAATGGCCATCTCATCCAATGCCCTCATTTTAGAGATGAGGAAACTGAGGCCCAGGGTAGTGAAGTGACTTCCCCGAAGTCAAACAGGTTAGAATTTGAACCTAGGTTCTTTGACTCCTGAACCAAAGTTCTTTCCTGTGTATCACATTGCCTCCTAAAATGTAACCATTCGGAATATTATTAGTTTAAACTAAATAACCTAAGACCACTGTGACAGAAGCAACCTTTGAAGAAAAAACAAAACAGCAAAACACTCATTTTATACTGACTATTTTTAGACTAGGTCAGCTGTTAAATCCCAGTTCTGATGTCTACTTGTGTGAACTTGGGCACATCAATGGCTATCACCAAGCCTCAGTTTCTTCATTTGTAAAATGAAGGAGTTGAACCAGATGGTCTCTGAGGCCTTTCCAGCTCTGATTTATGATCCTAAATGTAAAAGTATATAATACAGCATGCTGATTTTGGTTGGACTTGTGACAGCTAACCAATTTGTGCTGCAAAGTCCAGAAAGATACGGCTATTTGAAAATGAGAATAAAACTGAAATACAGTAACTTCTCATGAATACCTTAATTCATAAACCAGATGAGCAGTGATTCGTGTTCCAGAGGCTCCCAAAGGGTGGCCCAGGGCAATGGCTCCTCCATTCACATTGGTTTTACTTGGGTCAAGTTGCAAAGATTCTTCCACTGCTAGATACTGTGGAGCAAAAGCTTCATTCACCTTCAGGAGAGAGGGTAAAACATTGGTTAGCTAGAATAATTCAGGTTGTCGTTTCGGTCATGTCTGACTCTTCGTGATCCTATTCGGGGTTTTCTTGGCAAAGATATTGGACCAGTTTGCCATTTCCTTCACCAGCTCATTTTACAGATGAGGAAACTGAGGCAAACAGGGTTAAGTGACTTGCCCAGGGTCACCCAGCTAGTAAGTGTCTGAAGCCAAGTTTGAACTCAGGAAGATGAGTCTTCCTGACTCCAGGCCCAGCACTCTGTGCACTATGGCGCCACCTAGTGGCCAAACAGTTTTAATTCATAATTCTCTATCCACAGATTTTACATTTACTCTTGTCTATTTGGATTTACATTTTAGGTGGTTTTGTAAAGAGTATTCGTATTTGCCCTCAGTGTGACCTGCATCCAGATATCAGGTTAGATCTCTGCTTCAGAAAATTTTCTAAGTCAGAAGTTCTCTAGTCCTATCACTGTTTCTAGATCTCAACTGTTTCTTGACAGTGACTATAGTTTCCAGACTTTATGGCTAGATATCACTGCAAACAAAAATGATCTGAGGACTGGGTTGGCTAAGAGTCATCACTGTGACATGGCCCTCCAAAAGCTAATGCTCTCTTGAGCCCCATTAACTGGAACGCAATGTTCAGAATGAAGGAGGTTGAGATAGTTCCACTATATTCTGCCTTGGTCAAACATCATCTGGAGTACTGGGTTTAATAACGGCCACCAAATTGCAGGAGGGACGCAGACAAAATGGAATGTGTACAGAGGACACCCGGAATTACAGGGAACTAGAAAGTCTGCCAAAGGTGGCTACACAATAGGTATCTAATAAATCAGGCAGCTGGGTGGCACAGTAGATAGGGCAGTGGGCCTGGAATCAAGAGGACCCAAGTTCAAATCCAGCCTCAGACGCTTACTCACTGTGTGACCTTGGGAAGTCATTTAACTTGTTTGCCTCAGTTTCCTCAATTGTAAAATGGGGATAATAATAACAGTACTTCCCTCCCAAGGTTGTTATGGGTTTCAGATGAGGTAATATTTATAAAGTGCTTAGCACAATGCTTAGCACATAGTATGTCTTAATAAATGCTAGTTATTATTAATAACAACAATAATATATTTGTCAATTTTATTCATTCTCCTCCCTACAAAATGGGGATTAAGATGGAGGAAGTGGAGGCTGTTAGTGGCAGCCTCCTGAGGAGGGGAAAGGTTCTGGGATGAACCATTTGTCTATAACCATGAGTTAGGTATCTGAGTCAGTCAATGGATATAAGTGGCTATATTAATACCAATGGAAATTGTGTGTATAAATAGAGTACTGAGGGTACCCTTCCTTCCTATTTCCATATTAATATGTGGATTCCTCATGAAATCGTCAGAAAAGAGGACACAGAATAACCTCCCAATCTGGGCTGGCATGGAGTCAGCCCTCTAATATTTTCCAATAAACTGGGCTGCACTATATTACTTGGACAGAAATGTACATGCTGACATAAAAGATAAGTAGCCTTAAGGATTTTTCTAAACTTTGACCTTCCATTTTTTATTGATGCATTTTTAAAAAATCATAGTAATTTCCCAATATACCATGCTGCCTCCAACCTTGTTACGAAGAATCCTCCCTTGCTAAAAAGTATAAGGGTTAAGTAAAACTGTTATCATAACTACATTTGACACCATACACAAAGCCTTGCACTGGCAGTCCCTCAGCTCTCTACTGAGAAGAGGAAGATGTTTCATTTTTCATCCTCCAGGAGTGGCAATGGCATATGATCTGAGTTTAACTTCCTTATCACCTTTAATTTGTATGGTACTATAAATTTATCAAGTTCTCTGATCCTCAAATGGAGATCAGCAGGGCTATAATTAGCCCCATAAAGAATTTAACTACAGAAATTTAAGTCTCCAAATTCATAAATTTAAATTAAAATGTGAACTCACCGCTGCATCAAAAGTAGAACCAGTAGATATGGCTTGACTTGGATTATATACATTTCTTAGGCAGCTAGGTAGCAGAGTGGATAAACTGCTGGGACTGGAGTCAGAAAGACCTGAGTTCAGATCTAGCTTTACTAGCTCTGTGATCCTGAGCAAGTAACTTAACCTGTCTTCCTCAGTTTCCCCAAGTGGAAAAAGAGTATCATAACAGCACCAACCTTCCAGGGTTGTTGTGAGGACCAAATGAGATAATATTTTCTGAAGTGCTTAGCACAATGTTTGGCTCATGGTAGGTACTAAGTAAACGCTTATTTCCTTCTCTTACGTTTTAGTTCTTTTTGTATTTTTTTTTTTTGGAAATTGGGGTTAAGTGACTTGCCCAGGGTCACACAACTAGTAAGTGACAAGTGTGTGGTCTGAGGCTGGATTTGAACTCAGGTCCTCATGACTTCAGGGCCAGTGCTCTATCCACTGCACCACCTAGCTGCCTCTTAGTTCTTAACTGAAACAGTTACCAGACTGGTTAATGACCATGTGGTCTAATAGACAGATCATGTGAACTAGATGAAAAGAAGCTTGGGTTCTGTGCGTGACCCTACCACTTATCTACTGAATGCCCTGAGGTCAATCAACCAATCAATAAACATTTATTAAGTGCCTACTAAGTACCAGGCACTGTGCTAAGCGCTGGGATACAAAAAGAGGCAAAAGACAGTCCCTGCTCTCAAAAAGCTTTCAATCTAATGGGTTGAGTTACTTTAGCTCTTCACACTCTCTCACTTCACCTGTAAAATGGGTTTAAACCCATTTTCTCCTCACTTACATGCTGGCATATGGACTAAAAGTATAAAGTACTCTAAGACACTATAATCTCATTGATGTGGGTGTTCCTTCCACCAATGCAAATTGCAACCTCTTTCTAGCTTTGCAGACAGTCTTCAAGAGACTGTTATAATCAAACAATCCTACACCATTGCAGATAACCTGGAAATAAAATAAGCCTTTATGAATTTATTTATGCTAGTCCTTAGGCAAATATACACAATAAGTGCATCACCAGGCCTTCTTTGAGCAGGATGGAAAGACTTTGGACACATTTTTAAATGTTAGCAGAACTACTTTGCAAATTTTAAAGGGCTTTAAAGTAAATACTGACTATTATTACTACTACAGAAGAAAGTACTAAGGTGAAAGCTACTGGGCCATGGTGATGGGCCCCTCATTCATACTGTAAAAGGCAGAACACTTACCTCAACCAAATCCATGTCTTTCAGGCTCAGCCCTGACTTTTTTAATGCTCCACTGATAGCAGGAACAGGACCTATAAGAATTTTTAAAATATATATCAATGATATATGTACCACAAAATATCTCCTTTTCCTGAACAGAAAAGTTAATATCCTAACAGAATGATTAATTTGTTCTAATATGGGCTGGACTAGATAATGTCAAGTCCCTGCCAACTCAGATTTTGTGATCCTATAATTGTCCCACATCCTTCAGCACATGATTAACTGAGTCAGTCAGTTGGCGATGAAGCATTTTTTTAAAGCAATTACTATATGCAAGACACTGTGCTCAGTGCTAGGAATGCCAAAAAAAGCAAGAAAACAGTCCCTGCCCTCAGGAGGCTTAGAGTCCACTGCAGAGGATGACACATAAATAACTACATATGTACCAGATACAGACAGAGTAGATGAAGGTAATCAGAAAGGGAAGACTAGCAGTGGGAGGACTAGATTGGGCAAGGCCTTCGTACACAAAAGAAGGGATCTGAGCTGAAGGAAGCCTGGGGGTGGAGGCAAGGAGGGAGGGCATTCCAGGTATGAGGGACAGGCACAGAGACGGGAAGGAGGACTGCATTTAAGAAACTGCAAGGAGTCCCATGGAGATGGATCATGGAGTCTGTGGAGGGGAGGAAGGGGAAAAAGAAGGCTGCAATGGGAGGACAGGGCAGGGTAAGAAGAGTTTTAAATGCTTTAGGTTTGTGATCATGAAAAAACAAAAAACTTGACCCCAGTGGCAAGGCTGTCTAGGATGTCATCACTATGTGCAGAACTGAAGACGAGGGGATGAGAGAGTAACCAAGCGTCCAAGGCTCTTCATTCTGCTAAAGCTTCTTGTAAAGTGTAGTTAACGTCACCCATGAACTATGCTTGTATCAAGCAAGGGCAAACCCAGTAGGGCAAAGACTGTGGGGATGTGCTTTCAGTCACACTGGGCACAAGGCAGGTAACAGCAGCAGAGGCAGCAGCATCTCTTAATGTGAAGGTCAATGTTAGATTAAATATAACTGGTTACGGAAAAAAAATCGATGAGGTGCCTTGTGGAAAAGATGTTAGAAATAATGGAGAAACGTCATGTGGAAAGGACAGGGAAGGGAATAAGCAAGAATTAAGCACCTACTATGCGTTGGGCATTGTACTAATAAGCATTTTACAAATATTATTTCATTTGACGAGTAGGATTTTATGCTTGAGGAAACTAAGGCAAATGGAAGTTAAGTGACTTGCCCAGGGTCACAGAGCTAGTAAGTGCCTGAGGCTGGATTTGAAATTAGTTAGGTCTTCCTGACTCCAGGCCCAGTGCTCCATCCACTGCCCCATCTAACTGCATCTTTAAGAATTTAAACAAGATGAATCAAACTGATCATCAGTTATTGTCAATTGAGGAATTAGAACAATAAAATGCTTATGGCCTGGTTTCCTCTATCATTACTGGTGTTATTTGTCCTGTTTTTAAAGAGGACTAGTGACATCATGAGTGACACCTTGCCTCATGGGTACTGGGTTTAAGTGAGGCAGAGCTGCACAAAGTCGTCAGCTTTGCTCTCTTCCAGGGTCACTGAAGTCCAACGGCAGGACAAAAGTCAGGATGACCGGTGATGGGCAGGGATGCAGTCGATGACCTTGGTGTCTTAGATGTCTGACCAACCTCCAAATGCTCCACAGAGCACTGCCTTCATGGCTGTTGGAACAAATCGTTCTCATCTGGCCACTCTGCCGGGAAGTCTTCACCTGCTTGGGGTAGACACTCCCCTAATTCACTGACGGATGTGAGGTCTATTAGTTACCCTCAACCTGCTTTAGCCCGTCTGCCGTGACGGTTTACTGGGGTGTTGCTGTTGCTTCTTGGAGCCACCAAACTCTCGTTCGGTGACACCAAAGGTGGATGAGCAGGCCTGAAAAAGGCTCATCAAACTCATAAACCAGAGGTGCCAGTCCTCCTGGATCACCCCATACACCCCTATCATACACTATGATTTCTAATAACTACAAAACTGACCTCAAGGATTTATGATTGAACAGTAAAGCCCTCTGTTCTCCACGCAGCTCACAGACCTCTGTGCTTTAGTAGAGGGTCGGAATTGCCATGGCCAAAAAATTCATCTCCTTCCAGTCAATCTTGTGATATGATTCTCTGAACTGAACTCAGCAGGTCTTCAAATAACAAAAAGCCCTGAAGCCTCTCTAGCTACTTGAGAGCCCAGGCTACCTTGGTATAAATGTTGAAAAGCTAGCATCCCCACTCCACCAACAGGAGATATGAAAGAAGCACTCTGGTAGAAGATGAACATACAATGGTCATGCATTCTAAAGTCACATGGGGCAAGAATTCTATGACCTGGGGTAATGAGAAAAAAAAATGAGTAGAAATGCCAATTTACAAGAGTGGCCCCTTACATAACACCAAAATATTTCTCGTAGCAGTTTTCGTGATAGCAAAAACTAGAAATAAAGTAGATGCCCAAACAGTCATTAAACACTAAAAAATGAATTTTATAGTTCACAGTAGGAACTGTTAGCAAAGCATATTTAGAAGTATGGAAATCTAATAAAGTAAGACATGGTATAGAGCAGTGGTTCTCAAAGTGTGGTCAACAGACTCTTGTGGGTCCCCAACACCCTTGGGGGAGGTCCACAGGGTCAAAACTATTTTCATAATAATACTGAGACATTATTTGTCTTTTAAAATGCTCCTTTTTTACATATCTGAATTTTCTTCATATGCTTCAACCAAAACAAAAGAAACACATAGGAGAAAACTGTGGCTTTTATTAAGTCAGAAATTAAAGAGATTTGCAAAAACAGATAAAACGATGCCACTTCTCAAACTTTTTTTGTTTTGGAAAATCTTATTTTTCATAAAGACATCTATGTTTACATGCAATAGATTCATTATTACCTTTAATGAATAAATGTTTTCATTTCTAATAGGGTAAGTATTGGTAGAGAAAACCCACACAAACAAAAGCTCTTTGAAGTCTTCAATAATAATTAAGAGTATTGAGACCAAAAAGATTGAGAACTGCTAGTACAGGACACTGAACTTGGAAGCAAGATCTCCATTAATCTTGCCTTCAGCATTAGCTACGTCATGCTGCACAAGTCATTCAGCCTTCTTATGCCTCAGTTTCCTTTTCTGTAAAATGAGGGGGTGGGAGTTGATGGCCTCTGATAAATCCCTTCTATCTCTAAATCTATTATCCTGTGATTAAAAAGACAATACTGAAATTCCAAAGTTTGGAGAAGCCTTGTTGTTGTTCAGTCATTTCAACTCTTTGTGACCCTATTTGGGGTTTTCTTGGCAAAGATAGCAGACTGGTTTGCCATTTCCTTCTCCAGCTCAATTTACAGATGAGGAAACTGAGGCAAACAGGGTTAAATAACTTGCCCAGGGTCACACAGCTAGTCAATATCTGAAGCCAGATTTGAACTCAGGAAGGTAAGTTTTCCTGACACAGGCCTAGCACAGCACTCCACTTAGCTGAAACAACAGGCCTCTTTCACTTCTCAGACAAAACTTCCATTAGGCAGTAGTCTGAATGTTGCCTGGGCTAGTCTATTAAAACGTATCAACTTGATTAGGTTCAGGTAATGACTTGATAAAATGATTCAATGAAAGCCCCTGGGCTCCTTTCAAAGCATAGAAGGGCATGGTTCTTATAGTCATGTGATGGGTCAGTTATCTTGCAAGGCTACCATGTTCAGTTATCAGTCAGTCAATGTTCTAAACAAGTGAAGTGAGTTCAAGGTTTTCAAGTTTAAAATTGAATTTTAGTCATTTCCTATCAAAATCTTAGGAGAGCATCCTGAACAGAATTTAACCTTTTCTAGAGGACTCAGGCTGATCATTATGAATGTTAATGACTGTATAACACTGTATGAAGCCCTGGGAAATTTACAGTACTTAGCAGAAGGACTTAAGGCAGCCATTTAGATAATGAATCAATTGCTCTCCAGTTGAGAGGCAGTATGGGACAATAAATTTGAGTTACAGTAGACAAGGGGTCTGAACTAGATCAAAAGACATGGATTATGGCGAACAGACTGAGTTTTTAGAGGCATCGCTAGTTAATGAAAACACTTTTTCCTGCTGCCTTCTTCTTGTCCATACCAGCAGGGGGCATCATGGTCCAGGGGGAGGAGCACCAACCTTGTACTGCTGAACTTGGGAATCAGCCGTCTCCCCAGTTAGATTATGAGACTAACTCTGATGGACTTATCTCTTCTCAGCAATCCAAGGATCTAAGACAACTCCAAAAAGCTCATGATGGAAAATGCTGTCCACATCCAGAGAAAGAACTATGGAGTCTAAATGCAGAGTGGAGCATATTATTTGCTCTCTCTTTTTTTGTGGTTTCTCCCATTGGTTCCAATGCTTCTTTAGAATAGGACTAATGTGAAAATAGGTTTAATATGAATGTATATATTGAGTCTATATCAATTTACAGGCTGTCTTGGGGTAGGGGGAGGGGAGAGACGGGGAGAAAATTTGGAACTCGAAATCTTATGGAAGTGAATGTTAAAAACTAAAAATAAATTTATTTTTAAAAAAGAACTTAATACTTCTACATAACGGATTTGGAGTTGCCTAGGGACATTAGGATAAAACAGCTATATTGGTTTCTTTAAAAATCTCACTTCTACCAAAATCAATTGAAATGCGCAATTCGTTTTTAGGGTAACTTACCAATGCCCATGATATTGGGATCACATCCGGATACAAAGTAGCCCACAATTCTGGCGAGCGGGGTCAGGTTATGTTTTTTAACAGCGTCTTCACTCGCTATGATCACTACTGCAGCTCCGTCGCACACCCCCTTGAAAGGAAAGGCAATATGTTAAGTGGACATTACGATAATCCAAAGAGGCCTGTGTGCCTGAGCAAAGGTAATGACAGGTGGGGTAGTGAAAATGAGTGGAAAACTATACAGAAGAAGCAGTGCTGTGATTTGAGATGTACCAAGTGAAGAGATGATTTTAAAGGGCCCGGGAAACTAACTAGAAAGGATGCCAAGCCCTCTCTGATGGGCATAGCTGAATACCAGGCAACTTAATCCCTATTACAGACGAATGCTGGCATCAGAGTCCAAGGGGTCAGGACATCTGGTGCCTAAAGGTGACCAGTAACTGGCATTTAGAATTTTGTGACAATTTGTAGAAATGTTTTGCATGATTTCATATGTATAATGGGTATCATATTGCTTACCTTCTCAATAGACAGCAGAGGGAGAATCTGGATCCCACAATTTTAAAAAAAATCAAGAATTTAATGATGATATGAAGAATGAATATCATTTTTATT